GAAAGAGAGTGATTGATTTGTAAATAACAAGTTTTGCGTTGTCTTTCTCACTCGAACACAAGCGAGTCTGTGCTCGCTCGCTTGTGTTCGGTTCGTTAAAAATATCACTATTCATATTCTACTAGTTCATATTTCGAACATAAAAAAATGTTTGTGTTCAGCCCGTTAGCTTAATGAGCCAAACACGAACGAGAACGAGTTACTCGTGAACAATCATTTTAACAATCCTCATCACGTAATAAATCGTATAATTTATATCAAAATATCATTTTAATAAATAATTTTGATTGATTAAATCTTTGTAGTCTACTATTCATTCTTTTTCTTCCAGAATTTTTGAAGGTGAAAGGAACCCAAGCCTTCATCTGCTGCGACAAAGCCGACGACGCCAATGTCATCGTCCTCGCCTTCCGCGGCACGGAGGCCTTCAACGCCTTCGACTGGATAACAGACGTGGATCTCTCATGGCTCAGCATGGGGAAATACGGCAAAGCCCACCTGGGCTTCATGAGAGCTCTCGGCCTCCAAGACGAGAAGGACATCGAAAAAGGTTTCCCCCGCGAGCACCCCGAGCTCGACGAAGGCAGGTTCATCGCCTACTACGCCATTCGGGAGACGCTGAGAGAGCTGCTGGAGAAGCACAAGCGAGCCAGAATCATCATCACCGGCCACAGCCTCGGCGGCGCTCTGGCGATACTGTTTCCGGCGATATTGGCCATGCACGAGCAGCAGGATATCATAGACAGAATCCATGGGGTCATGACTTACGGCCAGCCGAGGGTTGGAGATGCGGAGTTTGGCCGAAATGTGTCGGCGGTGCTGAAGTCGAAGTATCATAGGATGGTTTACAGGTATGATATTGTGCCTAGGGTTCCGTTTGATAAGCCGCCCGTGGCTCTGTTCAAGCATTTTGGGACTTGCATTTACTTCACCAGTTGGTATGAGGGGAAGGTCAGTCTGCTGCTTCTTCTACTCTTTGGGGCTGTTTAAGTTGGATGTATAAAGTCGTGGATTTGATAAATCTGAATTTCATCTCCGGAACTAGAATTTTTCAAACAGTTTTATCAGATTTACATGATTTAATAAATCTGTTGCCAA